GTTATTCCTTTGAAGATGCTGTTAATGGTTTCATGTGTCTTCTCTAGTTGTTTCTTTTTTACTAGAAAGAACTGCCAGAGGAGCAAAACAAAACCCCCACCCTTACCAGCACTGGCAAGACAGGCCACAGCACATAAATGGAGAGCAAACCCCATCCCATTTTAACACTGAAGATGTTACCTAGCTGGGTAATGAAATGTTTGTAAGAAAAGAACCAAGCTCAGAGAATCTCAAGGACTTCACAGCTATTAGTGGAAGGTAGCGGTAGGAACCTAAATAAAAGAAAAAGTCCAGACTTGCTGGGAGTCAAGTGGCATATACAATTATTATTAATTAATTAATTACTTAATTAGAAAGAACCCATACTTGAGTCAGCTAATTGCTCATCCAATTGCTCTTTGCTGCTTTTCCTACAGATGCAGGTCTTTACAGCTGCTTGGATAATGATGGAGATGTGGCAGCTGAGCTTTTCCCTTGTCTTGAACACAGCATTATGGACAGTGGCGGTACCCATTCTATGGTGAGAATACCTTTGCCTTTAGAAGAAAATTTTCTGCTTTCCAGCATGCCTCCCATGTGATGACAGGGCATACTTCTCATCTCTTTCTCTCCCCTCCTGTATAACTTTATAAAAAAATGAATTCATTGTACTTTGGTATCCTGCTCATTCCCATCCCTGCCACTTCAGCTTTTTTGTTTGTTTTTGAGTTCAGTTGGAGTCTGGCACATCTGCATTGAAATGATTATGTTCCCAGTTATAATGGCTGGCACGACAAGTGTACAATTTTAGGTTGCATTCCCAAGGGTGTTACCTGCATCCCTGAAAGTGTTATTAAATTGGAGCTCCAAACTATACCTCTTCTGTTACACATTCATTCATTGCCATCACACTTTGTTCCTCAGATAGAAAGGGTCAGGCTTACTGTTCCCCACCCATGAAAAGCTTTGTTTTTATTTATATCTTCCTTTCTATGCCAGCAGTTCAATGATGGGTTTGATCTGGACATGGAAACTATGCCTCCAGACCCACCTTGGGATCCTTTGCAAGAATCTCTGTTCCCAGGTGAGTACTTTCATGAAGCTGTGGGTAGGTGGGCTATTGAGAACCTGTTGTAGAACTGAGGATACTATGTAGGATCTGATAAATCTGATTAAGTGGACTGTGATTTAGAAAAGTTTTTATAATAAGTCCATTGATTTTTAAGCTGTTGCAAGATTGTATTTTATGCAAAACATTAAGATGGTGTCATTCTGGAAATGATAGAGTAGGATGATATTCATAAGGAAGAGATTTGTGTTAGGTTAGCCTACTTCCTCAAGTTAGTACAAATCTATATATGCAAATCTGTATATAACCTGCCTACTCACTGGCTATTTAGCAAAACTATTTTGCATGCTGGAAATCCTAGACATTATCTCCAGTACCTCCTGTTAAAAAAGGATACCTTTAGGAAGACTTTGGAAAGCCATTGCCAGATGGAGTAGAGGTCACATGATGAACCACTCAATATAAATCTATATTTAGTAGCAAAATTATTTCCAGTAGGAGAAAGATGGATTTTGCCTTTGTGGCCTGCTGTCTTCCCAGAAGCACCTAGCTGATCGCTGCCCACATGGGCCTTTGATCTGATCCAGCAAACAGCTTTTATTTCTGTTTCCCAGAATTGTTGGAGCAGTGCATAATTTGTCTAGGAGTAGTTTTGTGCAGTAAGAGTAGTAATGGGCAAAGATAAGGTTGTGTCTGTCCTGCATCAAAGAAACTGAAGCAAGCTTTTCTAATTGATTGACAGTTGAATTGCCCCTTTGTAGGCAAAGCAGAAGAGATAAGAGGCTCAGTTGCTTGCTTTTTCCTCTTCCTTGTCCTCCCCCCACCCCACCCCACCCCACCCCACCCCAGTTTCTGACTTCCCTTCTGTTCAAGGCTGAAACCACAAACTAGCTTGCAACTTATGACTTGACAGTTTGTCCTATTGTCTGGATATTATCTTGGCTGCAATATATTGCTTAAAAAAAGTAGATGCCCTGTGGGGTGACCTAAAGGCCATGCAGCTTAAGAACTGTAAGTCACTTTCCCCTTAGTTAGAATTCTATACCTATCCAAATTTAATTCTTAGTGCAATTCTACGGAGAACCATTCACAGCTGTTCTTTAAGGGGCATAGCTAAGAAGCTGCAAAATCAGATATTTAGGAGTGATAGGAACTGTTCTGGAAAGGGGGTAGTTGGGCAAGGTTTGCTTAAGACAGCACTTTCGGTTGGTTGGTGGCAGCGTGTGGTTATGGGATTAGCGGCTCTGCAGAGTGGATAAGCTCTGATCACAAGATCACTTGTTGGTTTTTCCATTGCCTTGGTTTTTAAATCAGGTCAGAAGAAATGTGAATCTGTATCAGATAATCAGATTATTTGATCGTTTAGAGAGGAAAACATTAGCAGTGGCTTTGGGATCAAGGCAGTTTTTGGACCTGATAACTCTTCAGCTCTAGGTGGAACGAAGCATGATCAGGCAGCCACACCTCCTGCCTATCATAGCTTAGCAAAAGGAGAAGCAAAACTCTTCAAAAGCAAGCCCAGCTAAGAGAAACTGTTTTGCTTCTCCTTTTGCTAAGCTATGATAGGCAGGAGGTGTAGCTGTCTGATCATGCCTTCGGAGAGTTGTAGCCTATCAGATTGGCAACAGTGAGAGAACTGCTTCTTCTGTGGACCCAGATGGAGGGAACTGGTGGCATGGCTGTCAAAGCTGAATGGGATTAGAGGCCCATGAAGACGGCTTCCTTGGGATTCACCACTTAGGGCTGACTGTAGAAATTGGCAGCGGGGATGGGGGAGAGGTGGATGGGAAAGAATAGTGGGAATGAGAGGCCAAGAGGAGATACTTATGAACAGTTTCCTTTTGTCTTGGGTCAGCAGGCTGGCAGTGAAAGTATCTGAATAGGTCTCCTTTTTTAGAGCTGCAGGTAAAGTCTGAGCCAGTCTCCCCTGCCTCATCGCACTGCTCTGATTCATCCGTGGGCTCCTCCGATTCATCTGCTGCGTGCTCCTCTTCTGCAGAACTCTCAGAGCAGGTAGGTCTTCTCAGAGGCCTCTTCATAGAGAACAATGGTGCCCAACTGGTGATACACATATTTTTTTATTTTACTTTTATTTATTACTAGAAAACCTGTGACCCACTGGGTCATTGTTTCAGAGATATTTCCTTACCTAAACAGAGAAA